TATAATTTCGCTTCTAAAGCTAGAAAAGACTAACTAGTGGAGAACTTACTGACGGAACCAACACAAAACTGAACGCCTGACTGACTAACTGACTGACTGACTGACTGACTGACTGACTGACTGACTGACTGACTGACCGACCGAGCGACCGAACGATATAGACCGAACGACCGACCGACAGATGGCTGACTGATGACCGAATACTAAGTGACGCTCCTTGAAGAAAACTATTAAAGTACAAAGATTAAACTAGATCCCGGTTTGTAGTTTGTGTGCCTCTCGCCTAGCAAGCGTGGTGCCCTAATATTCCCATAAAAGACCTTCACTACAATTTCCTTTCATTAAAAAATGCCTAAAACAAGACGCCTTTCTTGTTTTAGCAAACAACAAAAAAATTCTACCTGCAGAAAAGACTTACGACTTTTCTCTGTTGTGTGTCCAAATAATATCTTTCCTAGGAATGTTTATGGTATCGCCTTAAAAATATGTCCAACATTCAGTATAATTAATGACAGGAATTCTTAACGACCACGATTTTACTGAAACTGATAAACTACGTGCTATAGCCAAAATCGGTTTGCCACTCAATTTTATTACTTTTAATTGATAATTTGGTCGTAGTTCTCTTCTCGTAGTCAAAATATATTTCCTAATGACGATTCTTTGAAAGAGTCGTTATAGGAAAATTATCACTCTTGTTGATTTTGTCCGTTTATTACTGAAATCATATTTCTTTTCTTCAAACAGAACTCAAATTATTTAAACCGGATTGACAAGTCGTCCATAGCAGAGCTTTACCAAAATAGCTAAGTTATCCTGCCTCGCAAACACTTGGACAACAATAAAAAAGAAATGTGCAACTGTTAGGGGTATCCTCTTTCTTTAGGCTTGCGCTTATACTAGCCTACAGTTTACACCTGCCTGCAAGTAAAACAGTCCTTTAAAATTTGTCGTCTATCTCAGGATGTATTCTCATCACATTGTCGATTCGTTATGTCAGGAGGCACGTGATCCGAATTGAGTGTTGATACATCCACCCTGTTTCTTTGTTTTATCAGAATGAGAGACCAGAAACTAGATTTTGTTTCTGATTTTGTCATGATAAGCTTGTAAGGTCAGAACCTCCCCCACCAGAGAACAACCGTGCCAGATGTTTCCTCCAAATTCCTGGCTTAAAAAGGGTAACCGTCTTAACCTTTTAGCACGGTTGAAATTTAAGTTCTGATGAAAGGAAATATTTTTTGATGTATCAAAAGGAATTTTCCCGTTCTATAACAGATCATGCTACTTTCAATGACGTTTTGTGCATCCTTCCTTCTGGTAAACTCATTACAACAGGCAAGTAAACTGGATTTATTTGGCTGCAACTTCATCGGATGAAGAGCTGAAGGTTTATTAACGTACCACAATACCCTGCAATAACTCTGTTATACGTTATACTCAAACGTTATGGATACTCATTCGAAACTTAATAAAAAAGATTTTTCTTTGAGGAAAGCTTTTTTTCAGCCACTATTGGAGTAACTTATTCAATCTGTTATTTTTTTTAATAATAATAAAGCTTTATAAAAGTGTCAAACCAAGTAGCCATGGGGCCTGTTTGTTTGTTTGTTTGTTTGTTTGTTTGTTTGTTTGTTTGCTTGTTTGTTTGTTTCTTGTGGAGGCAGGGCCTTAGTAAGGAGCACTCATACAGCCCTTTGCATCAAAAATTCCTGGTGACGTGAAAGAACAGGAAACTTTAAACAAGAAAGGTTATATCAAAAACCCGGTCAGAAAATAATCACTTAAAAATACTGAAACATGCGTTTCGCTATAGGTTATTTCTGTTGATCGTGAGGTTAGTGTCACATGGGCCAATCACTACAGAGTAAAACGACAAGGTATGTAATAATAATCGCCTCAATAAACAATGGAGAAGAAGAGAAGTTCTGTGTTTTCTTGTTTTCTTGACTCGAACGACGCAACACGAAACTCGATGCTAGAAGTCTTCGAGTCTCGAGGATCGATGATCGCGTCGTTCGAGTTTCGAATGACTGTCAATTTACATTTGACCGGTGCTGTACTACCCACTATTCTCTAATTCCATTGTGTTCGTTTGTCTCAAGAGCGGTTTCATGAGGGTCATCGTAATCATCCTAGACTGCTACCTGGGGTAGTGAGCGTTTAACAAATTTTTTAACGTTGTAGTCGTATAGATAGCTTTAAAATTGTTCATTTCTCATCTCCTTGTTTAGATTCGAACTCGTGTGACTGTTGTCCAAGTCCTGGTCCGAGGTCATGCAAAGAGATTCATGACAAATACCAGTAAGTTTTGAAGAACGTGTATACAGGTAGATCTGCGCTTGGAATATCGGCCCGAGAAGACCAAGGGGCAACATTCTCCAAGTATGGTCCAGAACAAACATGGCTAACAAGAGATTTATAACCTGACTGAAAATCTGCAAAAAATTCCACGATCACAGATTGGAAAGACCCCACAGTTTACTCAACAAAGTTCACCGCAACAGCGCGCAAAATGACGCGTACTGTCCAATTACAAGCATGACGCGTACACTGTCCAATTAATGCTGAAATCGGGCTGCTGATAGCCAATGACGTTCGAGAATTTTTATAGTTTTGATTAGTGTTGTAATAAACGAAGGTACCTTACACGTAATGAGCTTTACTTCCAGTAGTTAAAAGCTAATGCAGTATTTGAAATTCATTTAAAGAACAACCGAAAACAAAGCATACACGCTCCAGTTTGGTAGCCAAAACGTTCCTGTCTACTGTAGTATGGATGGAGTTGATCTTGGCGACTGCGGCTGTGGAGGATGGACGCTGGTCATGAAGATTGACGGCTCTAAGGTATTTTAAACGCCAAAGTTTCATAAAGAGCTTAATGCATCACCACTGACATCTGGGGATCTTGGTGGAAGGCCCCATAACGTTATTGTTGTGGAATATACTGTACACGTACTTTTGCCGTGTTCTTTGAGTTGACTCTTCAATTTGATCTTGCAGCGGACGTTTCATTACGATTCGTCTTACTGGACTGACAAGAAAGCATATGGCATCCCTGAAGGAGAAACAGGTTTAGACCAGAAAGAAACAAAGCTACCAACCTACTGGAACACACCATTTACCAGGATCTGTCTCGGCATGAAGATTGGACACGAGACCAGGTTCATTGTTCTCGAAAAGAAGGCTAGCTCGTTGTACGCCCTAATTCAAGATGGTAAATACCGCCCCACTTCACTGGGTCGTGACGCTTGGAAGAATTTGATTGGTCCTGAGGCCTCCCTGCAGCACAATTGCAACAGAGAAGGTTTTAATGTTATAGCTGACAACTCCCTTAATGCTAAGGCACGAATTGGTTTTATTACTAATCAAGAAAATGATTGCAATAGCCCTGACTCCAGGATTGGGTTCGGCACCGGAGGGAACCAAGACGATTCCAACACGTGTGGAAACGAGGCTCTATATAGTCCAGACAACGGAGACAAACACATCAAAGCTATGGGGTACATCTTGATTCAGTGAAGTGAACTGAACTGAAACGATCATGAACTGAACTTCCAGTTAAGTTACAGACTAAAGGGGCAAAGGAAAGTGATCAGCATGATATGTTATGATCGATAGTTTATTAAATTTCAATCGTTACAGTACAAAACTAGATTATGAAATAGGAATTAGGAATTAAGGCTATACATAATAGATTAAGAAAAATAAAAAAATATATTACAAAGGATTCAAATTGACTATCGTCTTATTTACAGTGGCTATACTATGAAACAGTTCTGCATTCTGTTTGTTTTACATATAGACAATTGAAACTTATGTGCACAGGACTGCACGGAGGTACGGCAGTATACGTAATCGGCAGAGATAAAAAATAATGTAACTTGTGATCTTTGATGCTAAGATAGAGCCTTCCAAAAAAACTCTACTGTTTCAATGCTGTGGGAAACGAAATAATGTAAATGCCTTGCTATTACGTATCAGTGAGAAATATAATGAAATAATAATTCATATTTCACGTCCATTTTATAAATTCTAAGGCACTGCGGACTTTTGATGACCCTAGAACGGCCGCATAATTACGTGACCTCCAGTTTCGTCCCTGAATTGCCACTTTCCTTGGATGGGATGCTAGTTCCAGTATTGCCCCCAGCACTTTGTCAGATCATAACAGCTTGCCGGTACTCATTTATAGGAAGTGGTTACATGTAGTTTCTAACTGAACTGCAATGATTGGTCGGAAGCAAGTGACACTCTCGGTTGATTACAAACTTGACAATGACGTTTTGAATATTGAAAAGCTGACGTCTCGATGTTTAGCCCTTCGAGCCAACGAATCAACGACTGCATACAACCTTCCAGCCCTCGCTCCTCTCAGCCTTTCACCTTTCACCTACCGATCCCTTTCCTTATATATGTCACCGTTTACCTCCCCGTCGCTTTCCAGTTCTTTTGTTATTATATTAGCGTGAGACTCGTCCCGCATTATAATTTCACAGACATTTCCGGTAAGTCACTTTCTGTGACCTCCCTGTTAGAGACGTGATCTCTTTGTTAGGGAGGTCATTTGTGCTTTAAAATCTGGAGAAGTGATTAAATGATGTACATACTTATGTACTTTATTGAGCAAAAATTGAACCTCCCCAATGGGGGCTTCACGATCAGTAAATTTAAAAGAGATTCCTACATGTACAATAACAAGATTGTTAATATATGTTAAATAAGATAAAAGCCATTGCAGTTCAATAAAGGCTATAAGACAACATTGTAAATTTCCATTAAAATCACTCTAAAAAGCGTTAAAACGAAATATTTAAGATGCGAAGAGTTTAAGATTTCTTAATAAGAGCATATGTTTTAAGGTCTTTTTAAAAAATGTCACAATAGGCTTAATATTATACGTTTTTTTTGTATGTGTTTGTTTGTTAGTTTGTTTCTTTGTTTTTTCTCGTTTTACGTTATTAGTTCTTTGTTACTGTCGAGATGAATTTTATTTGGTGATGCAGGCAGCGTTCTCTTGTGCTCCCAAAGGTTGCGTGAATGTCGTAAGTGTTGTTGCGATTGCTGTTATAAGGAGTTGCTACTTGCGTCGCCGAAACAAGATCTCTCTAATTCACCCTACAAAACAAGCGATATTGTTGTCAACAAAACACTTTTATCTAAAAAAGAAGAGTCAACCTTTGGATACAAACAGGGATTTAGCCTGAGCAATATGAAGACTATGAAATAAAAACGAGACTATAACTAAATAGTTACAGTAGCTAGTTGGCGTTGCTACACTTGAAAAACTGTATATGTGCATATAAAATATCCATTATTTCTATCGGACTAGGAGGCCCTCGACAGAAAAACGGAATTGTTGACATAGTACGCCGGATAGTTCAACCTGTGCCAATATTGATAAACAAGAAAACTTTTACTATAACTCAAAAGAACAACAAAAAGTGTTTTCTATTTAATAAACTAAAATTAAATTTCTTAACATTTATTTCACCTCCGATTCCTCTCAGGGTGCTACTCGTAAGAACAATTGTTTGTATTTTAAATTACCGTACATCGGTCCTTTTTCTATCATAACGCAACGCAGAATTAAGAAATTAGTAAGCACTTTTTGCACTGACCTAGACA